TTTCTCATTCACCCTAAATTGGTTTTGAGAAAATAAATATACCATATTAATCTACTCATGAAGTAGAACACATTCGGCCAAAGAAATCTTATTTTCGATTAACGGGACCCACTAAATTAATTAGTCAAGAATTGGTCAAACCAACTAATTAAAACCAATTTTTCCAACGGTTTAAACCAAATCAAGCACAAAAAAATATTTTGGCTTAGAAAATAAAGTGATTTGGTTTTAAAATTGTTTAAAAATTATCCAAATCGAAGTGCGTCCACCTTTACATGACTACAACATTTAACCACGTTTGATTTTACTATATAATTCCAAAACCAAAAGTAAATATATTTGAGCAATTAGAGGAAGTGTGTTCCTTCAATGAGATACTTATATCCAAACTGGAAATCAAAATATTACTAAGGGCTCAAAATTCCATAGCTAGATATTCTGCTGAGTCACAAACAATAAAAATTGCATAGGGACCGGAGATTAATCAATTATACTCCCTCGTAGCTCGAAAAATCAAAAGTTAAAAAACAATGCTAGCTTGGAAAAGTTTGTTGAATTTGACCATTTAGCTCCTATATGATGTAGCTAAAAATCAAACATTCAAAACTTGTTTGATTCTTAATATTTCTAAAATAAATTATTCTTTTTTTTAATCATATATTTTTCAATAAAATAAGATTACAGGCAAATTCAAAATTTTTCTTATTTTTTAACCGTTCATTTTCCATTAATCTATTATTTCAAATTACATTCTTTACCAAATAGTGAGGCTCAAACAAGGGCTAATAAATTTTGATAAAATTTTATAAAATGCATGATTGAAAATTGATGCTTGTGAATTTCATAAAAAGTGTAGTTAAAATTAATTATCGATTTTAACTTAGAATTTTTTTTGACTTTTTTTTAACTTAGACTTTATTAAGGCCATGTTTGAGCTCCATTAATTTGAAGAAATGTATTACGGAATAATGTTTGATAGAGAATATGTGATTAAAAATAAGTACTGTAGAAAAAAAATAATGGAAAAGATTATAAAGTAAAGGATGAAAAATAGGGGCTAAAACTATATATTCTTGGGTCCAAAATGAATTATCTTTTTAAGATTCAATTTTCTAACACTTTGACTATCGGAAGACATAAAGGTCCATAAAATCTTGATTCTTGTCACAAAGCAATAATTAACAATCTTCCTTTTGACCATATCCCACAACTTTTTCATTATTTATGTGACAAAATCAACAATAGCCCAATTCTTCAAACAATAATCTCCAATGTTTTGGTTCAAATAATGTTGAAGTTTACTCTAATGGTAGAATATATGTGAAAAGTTAGTCAAACTTACGGTAAGAACAAAATAGAAAATAATTCGAAGTGTAATTTCTAAAATGCGTATTAAATTAAGCAGTGTTTTAAAAATCAGATTGACCCGATCTGTTCTATTTGAATAACAAGGAATCTGCTCGTTCTAAGTTGAACTTTTTTTTCTTATATCATTTTTGATTCAATGTTGGACCCATTTTAAAAGTATCGAGTAGCATTTAATAACAAGATCAAAAGCTAACAAAAAATAGAATACTATGGGCCCTGTTTGGCTAACTTTTGAAATGTCTAAAGATACTTCTGAAATTAAGTAGTTGCTTTGAATATATTTGAATAATTTTCTAAATGTGCTTTATCTGACTAAAAGATCTTTTTGGGTTCATCTGATAGCATTAGATTCAATGGAAAATGTCACATTCGAAGAATTCGTTTTCTACTTTGGCTGTTTAATACGAAAGTGGAAGTGGAATTCGAATTCTAAGGTACAAACACTTAAATCATGTTTTTGCCCAATTAAGTGGAAATCGAATTCCTATGATTTTGATGATTTTTTCTTTTCCAACTTATATGAAATTGGTTTGTCTTTTCCACTTTTACAATCAAATGGACTCTTGAAGAAACTTTCTCAAAAAATTCTTATACAAAAAACATAATCTAAAGCAAAATTCCTGCCAAACAAGCCCTAAACATACATTAAACTCATAAAATTTAGCAGAAAGTAACACCACAAAAGTCTTAATTCTGATAAATTGTAGGAATCAATTAATCATATTAACAAATAATTGCTGTGATAATTTCTAAAACGTATGAAACAAAATAAACCAGAGAATAGCTGCTTCTAATTTCCAGGCAACCTCACCAGACAGAACACCAATTCTTCTTCGATTCGGACAGACCACAGTTGCACCACGTGCCCAACTTTCAAGTCGTTCCTGTTCAGCATATCTATCCAATTTCCAGTCAGCATGTAGGATACGCTCTCCTTCCCATTGCTTTTCTTCATCGGCCATCTCCTCAAATCTACTTTGTCCCTTATTAGCAAAGGATCAATAATTGGTACAGATATGTGCTCCAGCTTGCCATTGAAGCGTTTCAGAAGATGGGCTTTCTCTTCATCCTTGAGAAACTCTCCTACAACTGAATTTAGAGGAATAGAAAGCCTGCTTTGTTGAGGTTCTGTATCAGATTTATAGAGTCCCTTCTGTACCACCAATATCTCCTGTGAAATACTTCTTCCATTGGCCAGTTCTTGAATTGCATCCTTGAATTCTTCAGGTAGTGGAGGGGGAGGATCCGGTCCGGTGTTAATTCTTTTCTTCACAACCCGAACTTCCTCTTCTTCTCCTCCATTACAACGTCTTTTGGACTTATTATTTTTTCTACTTTTCACCCCAGAAGTTTCTGGGATGTCAACTGTACTGTTATCGAGATTATTCCTTCTAGCAAAATCTTCTTCCAAACTATAAACGATTTCCTCTGGTGCAATGCTTTTCAATTTCTTATTCTTCCTCGATCTCTCTTCTTTACTATTCGTAGGTTTCTTGAACTGAAATTCATCCCACGATATTTCTTCGTCGAATGAAAACCGAATTTTATTCTTACAAGCACGGAATTTTTCATCCTTCTCGTTCTCCTCTTCTCCGTTCTCCTTCCGTGGAAACATTATTCTTTTCGAAGAACTGGGTTTTTCATCTCTATTTTCCTTCTTGGCGTAACTTTCACCTGACAATGCTTCATTGTCATATATTTCTGCAGCTCGTTTCGTAACATTCTTCAGAAAATCAATCATAAATCGGTTTTTATCCGACTTAATGCCCACCATATCTTCCTCTGTCAATTCCCTCATTCTTATTTTCTTTTCCTCCATAGTTCAAAGCAAAATAAAATTGAAAACAAACTCTAGAAAGAATGAGAATGATGTAGTTAGGTTTTGCATTGGTTGAAATATTATATATAGGAGTATTTCGGAAGGAGGAGTCGTAATATTTAATCTCCTAGTCAGAATAGATAAAGTTACCAAAATTCTTGTTTCAGTACGTAACTCGGACATCAGAATTATAGACTTACCAAATTTCCACGCTACAATAATTCTTTCAGATATCAAACCCTAATTGAATAGAAACACTTCTTCTTTATGTGATCATACTCATAAAAAGCATAATTAGATTTATCTAAGCTCCATATTAGAATTCTAATTCAAGATCACTACTCGACAGTTAAGCTAGTTTCCAATCAGAATCAATCAAAATAGAATCATTGGCATCTTTTTACATGCCTAGAGTTATAAAATTCAATAATTGAATGTTAATATCCTTTACATGATTTTAATAATAAGTAAGTGAAATTTCATCTATACCCTACGTTAATTATGATTTTTTTGGGATCTTGGCTAATTTGTGCACAAGGTCCTCAAATGCTTATTTCCTACTTGGTGATATGGTGATATATACTATTATATCCTTAATTCTATCAATTTGATACTTAGTCTACCATCTTGCACATTTAAATTAAAAATTTGACACACACAATGAACATGAAACAAAAAAAACCACCAAAATGGGGATTAATTGTTCTACGAAATTTATCTATAGCAGGTTTGTTAACACTCAATGTAAACAAACGAATTTTACTTTCACAACAATATTCCATATTAATTTGCATGATAGCATTGCAAATATTATTAGCATTATGAAGAAATTCAGTTATCTTAAAAGCAAAAAAAATAAAATAAAATAAAATAAATTTATGCATCATTCAAAGTGGGTCTATGTCATGTGTAGTTGCTACTATATATTAATTTTTATTTATATTTTCCCATAAATCTAATGTATACACTATAACATCATATTTTTGTAAATCAATAATCAATTGGTTATTGGTTCTAACAAAATACTCTAGCGTATCATTACGAAGAGTGTTTTTGGTTGGAGATATTCTTTCACGAACATTGTGAAATGGTTGTTGTCCACTAAGCTTGGCAATAACTCAGCACTGACAATTAACCTCTCCGTTCCATTACGAATTCTTTCCTCCAAATACATCCATATGCTTAATGTTGATGAACCACTACCACGAGAACGAGTACCAAAGACTAGTTGTGTTTAAGATCTAAACAAGCTCATGTTTGGTGTAGTGACATTTGAAGTGAGTAGTATCAATACTCTTTTACCATGCCAATCGTGTTCGACATTATTTACACACGGCCTCAAACTCTAGGACTAGAATCTATGTTACAACCCGTTGAAATCAATTTAAACTGTCCCCAACACGTTGTAGCTTTTTTCTGCTTTTGCTTTCTTCTTGTACTGGAAATTTGTAGTTTCACTTCACTAGCATCTTCATCAATGTCATCCAAATTAATTGGATTACTACATCCGTTAGCATCATCAAATCCCATTCTTGACAAATCACTAGGGATTGGGACGTCGTTGAGACTGAAAAGTTGATTGAAAAATTTAAATTGTGGCATTATAAGTGAGTGGCCATCGAAAAAACCCTCAACAAAATTTCGAGGATCCATGTGTATGTAATATAATGTAGTGTAGAGAATAAAAATGAAATTTATAAATTGGATAATGTAGTGTAGAGAATAAAATTGAGGGAATAATGTAATAGAATTGAAATTTGAATGTAATAAAACTTATAGAACGTATATGCAATAATGAATGTATGTATAGTGCAATAGATTGTATATTTGTATGTAATAATGAATAATGAAGAAATTATGGAATTGCAAAGAGTTTGTTGATTGTTGTGTGAAAAATGGTTTGTATTGTGAGGTATTTATAGCTGAAAAAAAAATCAGTGATAAAAAATTGATCATATATTCACTTGTGTTTGAAGTGACTCTTTAGTCACTATAGGCTCGTGGCTAGCCGAGCCCGCTCATGGGCATTGTCCATGACTTGCTCGTTTGAGCAGTTAGTAGATAATCCTACGAGCCGGTTCATCTAAAATGGTGAGCCGAGTGTGAGCATTCCCTCTTGGCTCGAGCTCGGACTCATCTCAAAACGAGTTTGAGCTGCCCGTGAGTTGAGTCCCACTAGTCAAGCCGGCGAGTTGCTCGACTTGATTGCCTCCTCTGGAACTATGACTTTTTTCCAAATTTTCAAGAATATGTTTCATCAATATTTATCAAAATTTACATCTTTGTGATCAAGATATTAGAGTCTAGTCTTTGCAGGTTCAAAGGGATTTATTAAAGAACGGTATTATTAATTATAAGGAATTTCGTATTGTCTTGTCAAGATAAACTAATTTAAAACAATTGCTATCAAATACAAAGTTATTTGGAACCCAACATAATTAGCCCACTATGAGTCTACTGCATTTAGAAATATATATATTAGAATAATATAGTATATCATTCGTGTGCTCCTCTTGTTGAGGAAGGTAGAGTGAGAGTAGCCCCTCCGTCAGGGGTAGCCACTGAGGGGATGCAGGTGTGGGAAAAGACTCTGGTAGGGTATTTTCGTGATTATTACTTCTATTTAGATTACGTATTAATGTTGCATTGATAGTTTAATCAATTTAATTATCTTCATCGTGACTAATCACTTTTTTTTGTGGAATGTGCTATGGATGCCCTGGACAATCTACGTGCCTATTAATTTAAATTCAATATATTTATAAATTTATTTAGTTTGAAGTTATTATTATTATTATTATTATTATTATTATTATTATTATTATTATTATTATTATTGGTTAATAAATCATAAAAGGAAAGTAGGATTTGACTTGGATGGTAGAATTTTAATTTTTCTAATTAGTATACATTATCCTTATGCCTCCGTTTGGCCCCCATTATTTGGATTTCTAATGGAGGGAATAGTATTTTTTTTAATTTTTAATTTTTGAAAAATGGATGGTTGTAAAAGAATGAAAAGTTTTCAATTTGCGTGTAATATTATTTTATTGAAGATTGTGTGGTTGAAAATAGGAGAGAGAAAAATTTAAAATAAATTGATGAATTTTAATGGGGGCCAAATGGGGAAATGTGACTAAAATTGGAATTAGTTAATTGATACAAATATTCCTTATAGAAATGCAATTGTACTAGTGATACTCTACAAATGAAAAAGGCCACAAATACGTTACAACCTCGAAAGTACTTGTTTCATTTTTTGTCTCTTTCTAAGAATTAGTTCCCACACTACTCTTTAAGCTATTAAGTTTTGCTATATTTTTTTTAAATACTACGTTTTCATCATTTTGAGATTTAAATTTAGATTGATGTGATATGGTGTGAAACAATTGCAAATTACTTAAATAGATGAAAAATTTATATACTCTTAAACGCTTTTGCTTATATAAATATATGTGCATGCATATATCAATGTGGGTTGGTGTGTATATATATATAGAATATATATATGATTGTACATTGATTTGTAAGTTTGTATGCATGAAGTTGCACAGGTATGTGTGCATAAAGATGTTAGTATACATATATATGGTGTGTATGTATATATGTTAAATAAATATTTATAAGTATAGGTGTGTGCATATATTATTGAAATTTTATGAAACTTTAAATCTTAATAACATGAAAATCTAATTACTTTATTGTCAAGATCCTCCATGTCAAACGAGCAAGAGAATTATAAAGTGTGGAAGATACCTTAATTCATTGAGATTGATTCTTTATTAATGGATCTTGATATTGGATCTTGAATCTTGAAGACCTACTGCAATCTCTCCATGTTTGGATTCTTCACTTTTAATCTTGAGTTTTGCCTCCTTTGGTTCATTAATTCTTGTTCTTGGTTTTGCTTATTGATCTATAATCTTGAATTTATTCTTCTTAATTCTTGATTGTGGATTTTGAATTTTCCTCTTCAATATGCTTTCTCTTATATTATTGTATTAATAGGATGACACAAAGAATGAGAAGTTGCAAATAATTGGGGACCATTACCCTATATATAGTTTTCATATGTATTTCGCTCGTCATGAAATATAATTCTAAAAAGATTCGGTCTCTACACATATAATTTGTCTCACACTTTATTTAGATGCTCCAAACCCAATTACTTAATTCTTTATTAGACCATTTTAATTTTGAGCTTAACTCTAAAATGGCCTTTTACACTATTAATTGCATATGCTGGCCCATATGACAAATTAATAATTTCGTAACAATTTTCGACTTGGGAAACATATGTTACCTTATAAATGTGTATAACTTTACGAGCCCAATACTTTTGTTATCATAACCAAAGGGTTTCTGCAAACAATCTTGTCTATTAATTATGCTAATATAGGATTAAAGCGGTATATGTCATAATTATCATAACTAAACCCTCAATAGTCACTTATATAAATACAATCAAACGACACAAATCAAGTGTAGAGGTGTAGCAAGGAAATTATATGTAATGTAATCTAAACATGCCTATTTCCAACTGGTCCTACCTTATGAGATCAAACCAAAACTTTAATCAGAGTAAAACTGAACTGGATTCTTTATTTCTAAAATAAACCAATATCCATGGATAGAATTATGTGTCCAAAATAGACAACATCCAAATACAAACTCCTACTAAATTGGAATATCATCAAAAGATGCAACACTCATATGAGCAATACGATCATGAAAGACCTTGGGTGATAGCCCCTTAGTAAGTGGATACCAATTATAGAGTTTGTCCTAACTATTCCATTGAAACCTGAACACTCAAAATTATTTTCTCGACAACTAGGAAACTTAATGTCTATAAACTTCGACATCATCGAGCTCCTGTTAGAATACAATACTTCTATTGTCACAAATGACTAAAGTGGTCTTACAAATTCATCCAAAATATACAACCTAGTGACAACATTTTGCCGTCATATTCCATGATCAAAATTAGAATATCCAATGATCTCCAATTGGTCTGATTTTCTAAATGTGATCATGTGATCTTTAGTTCTCTTTAAAATACCGAA